CAAATCTTTCAGGTTCTTTTGCCAATGTTTACGAGCAGAAATTCTAAATTGATGCTTTTGTGGATATCACTCGTAGCTTTGTTTGAACTTGGCAATGAGATAAATTTTTCAAAGCTCGAATTGGAAATGACATATCAGCTGACTTAAAGATCAGCATCTAAACTTCGATATTTTCCGTCTACATATTAATGTCTCTATTACATAGACATTGAGAACATGTGTCAATTTCTGTTCTTATAATGGTTTCTATCTCTTTAGTCTCTAGTTTGATTTGTCTCATCTAACTTTGTTCCTATATTAATAATCTGGTTGTCTGGTCGTAACCCTTGCTGAAGTGATTGTTTCAGTTTTACATTAGCATTTATCAAGTGGCTTCTGTAACATTTTCAGCTCATAAATGATGAGATGCAGTTTCATATCCATCAATCGTTATTATATTACCACTCCAAACGAGAAAATCTAGTCTCTCTCACCTGACCTCTGGTTCATAAACGTCATCCTCACAAGGATGTCAAAGCAGGGCTATGCTTTTCCTTGCATCTGATGCCAAATTAAACATTGAGCAGGTCGGCTAACAGCAAGGTGTGATGTTTATAGCTTCGGGGTTGTGCTTTTGGAGCTGCTATCAGGGCGTTGTGTCATTGACAAAACAAAATCTAGAGCGGAACAAAATCTGGTAGAATGGGCAAAATCGTCCTTTTTGGGAGATAAGAGAAAGCTATTCAGGATTATGGACACCAAGTTAGAAGGCCAGTACCCACAGAGAGCTGCTTATGCAGCTGCAATCCTTGCATTACAATGTGTCAGTGAGGCCAAAATCAGACCCCAGATGTCTGAGGTTGTGGCGACATTAGAACAGCTTCCGGCTGGACAGAGCCGGAGGTCGGCCCCTTCTTCTGCAGGGTGCCCTTTGGGAGATGTTCATAGCTTAACAGAGAGCAAGTCATCTAGTCACCCAAGTGGCGGCACTGTGATATCTCCATTGCCATCTATGAGATCCCAAAGGGGGTGATACAAGAGGGGTGTGTTTTCCCTTCAAATGGGCGTGTCAAAGTACATCCCTTTCTGTAGGCTCGTCTTAGCTGATAGTCCCGTGCGGGAGTTTTGACTTTTGAGTTTACCATTTCACTTGTAGATTCAAGATTTGATCTTGGCGATATCATCATGACCGTCAAGATGCGTCATCATATCAATTAGGACTAGGTTTCAGTTTCTGCATTGCTGTAACAATCGCCAGTCGTAATTGTGCAATGACAAGAAATTCAGTTTCTTTCCTGTGTGGAACGCCATTAAACCAAGAGGTTCTGGTACGCTAAGAGAAGGTTATTACATTTCAGATGATGTCGAATTATCTTGGATGTCAATAACTATTTTGGATATAAGGTGTTTTTACTTAATTATTAAAATAAACAGTTAGCTAGTCAAGATTTTAAGATTTTTTTTTTTTTTTCACTTTGCCCTTTTTTGGGTCGAAACTTACGCTCCCATTATATCTTGTTCGACCTTACAATCTTACGTCTAAGAAAAACTCAAGGCGAACGTTTGGTATTAGAGTTATAAGGTCCCGGTACCTTTGTCTTTCTTTTAAGTGCACGAGAAATTAACCATATCAATTCCTTCAATTTAATGTTTAACGTTTATTCTGTTCTCACTTCTCACTTCTCAGAAGTCAGAAGCAAAACATCTCATCGCTTAATACTAGAGTAATCTAAACACGAGTCTCGGTTTGGTGCTCATCAGGTGATGATATTATGCTCCCCTATCCTCAACACAAAGACAACTACAGATAGAGTTTATCGTACAATTCTTTTACAGCTGTACATGCGTAGATGTCAGGAAAATCAGTTTCAAGTCGAAGCATTCCCGCTCGAATCACTCAATTCCCATATTACGAAAGCTTATTTTTCCTCTTGGAAAGATGCAAAGGGAAGCGGCAACTCAATCAAATTCATGCCCTTTCAATCATTTCAGGTCTCATTCGAAAGCCCTCTATAGCAAGCAAACTTGTTGCTTCTTCGGCCTTGAGCCCCCTTCCTGGCACAACTCCTATAGCCCGTGCAATCGCTGATCGTATTCAAGGTCTTGATACTTACACTTGGAACACGATCGCCAGAGGTTATTTGGAGGCAAATAAACCCGAAGAAGCCTTTTCAGTTTATTCCCTCGTAAGAAGAAGAGCCCTGAGGGTTGATAGTTACACCGTTCTATTTGCAATCAAAGCGTGCGAGATTAACATAATTCAAGGGGAACAGTTGCACGCTCAAGTTTACAAACTGGGATTCTCGCACGAGCTTATAATCCGAACTGCCATCATGCAAATTTATGCGTCGTACGATAGGATTTCTCACGCGGAACAAATGTTCGATGAAATGCCCCAAAGAGATTTGGTTATGTGGAACTCCCTTATTGCTTTATATGCTCAGAAGCGGTTCCCCTTGAAAGCACTTCAAGGTTTGCGCAGTATGGTCATTAATAGTATTCGGCCTAATGAGGTGACTGCAGCAAGTGTTCTTTCTTCTTGCTCTTCGATGAAAGCATTGAAAGAAGGCAGAGCAGTACATTGTTATGTGATCAGAAAGCTCCGCCATTGTGATATTTTTCTCAACAATGCCTTGATTGGAATGTATTCCAATTGTGGGGATCTCTCAAAAGCCCTCCTCATCTTCCAATTGATGCCTTCAAGAAATGTGGTTTCATGGACATCAATGATCAAGGGCTATGTTGATAACAACTGTCCACATGACGCATTGAATTTGTTCACCAAGATGGAATCTGAAAACATGAGACCAGATGAGGTTATCGTGTTAGAGTTAATATCAATGTGCTCCAAGTTGGGACGCTTTGAACTTGGACGACATATCGAAGCCTACCTAGAGAAGAACATTATCAATAAAGAGAATCACTCTATTGCAAATGCTTTAATGGATATGCATGCCAAATGTGGTAATATGAAGAAGGCTTGCCAAATTTTTGATGGGATGATGCGGAAAACTCTAGTCTCTTGGACTACAATCATCAATGGGTTAGCAAGGCATGGCCACGGCATGTTGGCACTAGTCCGATTCTGTCAGATGCAAAGAGAAGGTTTTAAACCAGATGGGGTCATCTTCCTCAGCATCTTATCTGCTTGTAGCCATGCAGGTTTAGTGGATGAGGGATTGAAATGTTTTGAATCAATGATCAATGACTATCATATAGAGCCATGGATGGAGCACTATGGAAGTATTGTGGATCTTCTTTGCAGGGCGGGGCTAGTGAAAGAGGCATTAGACTTTGCTGAGGCAATGCCATTAAAACCAGATACCGTAGTGTGGCGAATGTTGCTTGGAGCATGTCAAAGACAAAGTAACATAGAATTAACACATCGTGTCGCAAAGATTTTACATGAAGCTGCGCCTAAAAGTATTGAGGATTATGTACTGCTGTCTAATTTTCACGCAGCCATGGAAGGATGGGGTCTTACGCAAGAACTAAGGGGAGAAATGAAGATTATGGGTCTAAAGAAGCAGGATTCAGGCAGTAGTTTGGTCGAAATAGATCATGCTCTATAACTACAACACAACATAGTAGAATTTATTTCTGTGTGTTTTTCTGGCGAAATATAGGCGGCTAAGCTCATAACACAGTACAAACTACTCTGCGAGGGACTCCATGTCTTTCACTTCCCCGGAAGCTGTGGATACTGAATAGTGCATACAATTTGAGAGGTTGGTTAGCTTTCATAACTCTATTTCACATTTACAAATGTATTAGGCTAGTTTGGGTTTTACCATTAGTTTAATACCATAAATTTTGACAAGTTATTTTTTATTCGAGAAAAAATTGGTCATAATGAATTTATGCTTTGCACATAATCTAAGGTCAGTCATATTATTTAGTATTCATGGCTTTTAAATATTGTAGTTTCTACTTTCTTGTTAATTTTGTATGACACATGGATTGATGTACGGATGCCTGAACTTCTGACTTTTTTTCCCTGGAAAATTTTAAAATTTTAGTACTTTAAATATATGGGGTACTAGATCATCTTGAGCATATGACTTGCTCATTTTGATGCATCTTTCAAAGATCTATTAAATGACAACTTCAAAAAAGTGAGTTGAAGGCAAAATAACAAGAATGTGTAAACATGAGATTTATTTAGGATTTTTTTTAAAATTTTAAATGATTTCAAAATAGGCTTCTTATTTTAATTTTTAAGGGAGTTGTCATCCAAATCGACTTGTTGATTTGTTCAGAAACTCGTATTTGCTATCTTAATTTTAATTTTCTCTCTCTCTCTTGCAAAAATATGCATTTATTATTTTTGTTACATGTGACAATTAAATTAAGAAAAATACGGAACAAGAATCCAGACCCCATCTATTTAATTTCTGCATATGAAGCCTAGACCTTTCTTTAGATGTGCCAAGGATATGCCTTCACCAACAGTTATAAACTAATTCATTTTGAGGTATAAAGATCATAAATAAACTTTATTTCTCGAAATAAAGTTCTTTTTCATACAGAGTCCAAAGTCAATGACAAGTGATTAAACTTTCTTATTAGCATTTAAAAAAAATGTTTCAGTTGCTGAAAAATAACACTTGTACTCACAAGAATGTGGCTTTGAATCTTGCAGGGTGCGATAAGAAATTTTTTTTATTGTCAGTAAATAATAATACGTAAATATTTATTGAAGCACTCTTTATGCCGAAATTTGTACCATTAGTGGGGAATCCTCATCAATCAGTTCACCTTCCGATCCCAAGCCACATTAACCAGGCCGACACATCCTCATTTAACCGAAACATCAATAGTAATTTGGTGCCATCTAATATTCAGGGCCAAACATTTACAATCAAGTTTGCCGATCTCATCATCCATTAATAGACTCCATAATGTCTAAACACACCAAGATGCGCAAAACCCCACAGAGGAAGGGCTCGCCGTAATTTTGAAGGGATCTTTAAAATATCCATGTTACTAGCTGCCCTATAAAAGGGGAAAAACATCCAAGCTATAAATAAGATTAGCAAGCTTATTCTCATGCACAAACAATGTCTTTAGTAGCATAAACAAAGGTACAAGTTAATCACCATACAAACTTGGGAAGAAAATTACAATATGGACAGCGAAGAAATCATGCAAAACGCAAGAATTCAAAGTTAGGTATAGTTGCAGCATGCAAAACATAAAACCTATAATGTACAAATCACCCTCGACGCCCAAAATGCAGCAAAAGAGGAAAGAACCCGGTCAAACACATCCTTCCCACGATAGTCCTAAGTAGTCCAACAAAGTTATTACAGATAAATCCAACTCTGCATGAGTCTCAGCCTCCTGAAGTTAAACTCATGAAACTCAGTTCTCAAATCACCTCCTCCACTCAGCTTGAATTACTCTTCCTGCAAGATGAACAGGCTTGTTTAAAATTATCAAATTAATTGGAAAAAAAAAATGTCACACACCCGCATATAACTGACTCCTTTTGGAAACCGATTTACTTCTACCAAGTTGTCTCAGTAAAATAAAAGGAGCAGAACTGCATTTGCGTACGTAACTAATACCCACACCCACACCTACGGATGCTGTAGAAACTTTCTTAAGCATGTTTGGCCTGCTAAGGAATTAAGAATGGCATTTGTGCATATGAAAAGTATAAGATGATCCTAAACCGACAATTCATCTCTAAAACTTTACTTAATAAATATTTATATATTTTGAAGCAGAGGCGGTGCTGATTCTTAATGAAATTATCACGAGACAGTTATCTTGTTGGCCAAGGTGTCAGTTTAAACCACTACATAGAGGAAGAAATATATCATACCATTTCCATCTCTAGATGAGGCAGTTTTGTGCCCCCCTTTGCTGCCCAGTTGAACCGGTCTCTGGGTCCTTGGTGAATGCGAACTAATTTTGCTGTTAGTTGAGGATGGCAAAGAATGTCGCCGAGCAGAGTTGTTTCTCTCGCCACCATCTTGTCCAAACCTTGGCGATCCTTGTGCCCTCAACTTGGCCTTGGCTGACTCGGTTGCTGCCATATAGCTTGGTAATGTTGGACTACTCTGGATACCATTCTCTGCACGTTCCTGTTTCCCTTGAACTGAGGCCCGCCGGGACGGTCTCTGGTTTTCATTGCCTGTTGGATCTTCCTCATGACTCAGATCCCCATTAGTTAGGGGAGAATTCTCATCTTTACATCCACTCTCTGGTAGATCTTTTGGCTCATTTGAAACTCCATCACCAGAAGGATTTTTATCTTTAGTTGTATTCTCTACAAAGGGCTTTGGATCCAATTCCAAGTGATAGCTGCCTGACATTTCTGACACCTCCTTGCTAACCGAAGGTCTAGGAATAATTTCCACATCAGGCACATTGGGCACAGGCTCAGCCAATGCTGATTCTTTGTTAGATATTTCATTAGTGCTAACAGCCTCGGGCTCTGAAGCAACATGTCCTGAGGTAATATTTGCCTTCTCCAGGTGCTGTTTTGGGGTCTCAGACTCAACTTCTGGTGGAACAGCATTCTCAACAACAGGGTTATGGACCTTTCTCAGGCTCCGCTTAACCTTTTCGAGCTCACTTTGTGGATTTTCTTGCACTGGATCTGTAGCTTGGTTTGATATTTTCCTCGGATTCCTTTTTGGTTTCTCAAATTCAGGATTTGCTTGTACTGAGACTGAGTCAGAACTTGCAGTTGGAAGCTTCCGAGTAGTACGTCTTGACTTGCTCATTTGAACTTCTCCAGTTGAAGTATTACCTTGCTTTCTCTGAGACCTGGATTCTGGAATTTTCTTGGGTTGGGGAATCGGTATCCAAAAGTGAGATGCAGACCAGCGCTCCAACCAACTTAACACTGAATTTGGATCACCAGGAACATATTGCAGGCGCAAGGCCATTATCGTAGTAGATGATGCAAGAAGCTAAAACCAGAAAAATGGTTTTACATGAACATTTTCACCAAGATAGATCAAAAGACAAATTTGAAATAAATAAAACTGGGCTTCAGATCATTGATGCAGCGGTATATGTGAAACCTCAAACATTTCCAAATTAAACCAAGATGAATTGAAGTGTCAAAAATGTCAAATATTGCACATAAACCCATATTAGTGTCATTTAAAACATACCGCCTTAAGCAAAAAGAATTGAAAATATGCATGCCGTGTCTTCAATATCAACTAACAAAGCATTCATCTACTTAGTAAAATAAAAATGTAACAATTTTCAAACTTTGTCTCAGTCTGATCAATTCAGGCTGAACTAATTGTTCCTCATGTAATACTCACAGAGTGCTGGTCATTGTAGTACTGTTCGTTCTTAAGTGAAATATATTCAGAATTCAGACTGAGTAGCTACAGATATGAATCTTATAAATTGCAAGACACAGCCCTAATTACCTTGCGAGTGTAAGTATTTGTCAATAACTTTGCAAATTTTGTGGCTACATCAACTGGATTGGCATGCTTTCCATACTGAAATCGAATGCATTCAGAAGGAAATATCATTAACGTCAACAACAAGGAATTTGATGCTAGTACACAATACCTAAATTGTTATGTAAAACATACATATCTTAGATAATAAACAAAGAACTCAGTTCTCACGAAACATTACCTGAAGCTTCAAAATATTGTACTTCTCATGGATTTCAAAACCAGCATGAGACTGTCTAACCCTCCCTCCACGAACAAGTGCCTGAAATTTGACTATCCCATACATAGAACATAATGTAGCAACAGCTTGTCTTCGAACCAAGTGCCCACGAATAAGTGCTTGCAATCTTATTATCCCTTTTAAGGCCTTGAATGCCCTGCGAGCCTTCACAACAGAAGCTTCCATTACACGAGGCAATCAAATGTTACAACTCACACAATTTGAACAACACAAGAACAAGTTCAATATATTCAAAATTATCCATATTGAAAGCAGAAAAATATTATTGTTTATGAATTTTCGGAGACAAGCCTGAAACATCAAAATAAGTGCATGGTATATGGTTTTCCCCGAACAAGGCATCATATCAGGGAAGCCAGGCAAAGCAGATCTCCACCAGAAAATCAATTGAGAATAAGATGAAGGCAGTTGCCAAATTTGACAATTCCTTTTTCGACATCTTATCACATCAAAAATGAACTTGAATAATATCAGATCCCCCAGAAACCAGGATTGAGGGTGCAGCTGCTGAGTATCTGCAAGAATACTCCATGCTATTTAAGCCTATATACTTGTTAAATACCACGTTGAACATAAAAAAATATGATATGAAAGCACTAGATCAACTCAAACTTTTTGATTTTTTTTTCCTTGGGACCACTTACATGTAGGATTTCATGATAAATAGACCCACAATAAATCACAGAAATATGACATAGTTAGTTCTTTTCCTTTTTAGCAGAAAGACAATTGGTTTGAATCAATAAATTAAGTGAAGCAGTCAGAGCCTTACCAAATAACCCCTAAAAGCAGCCTGTGCCTTTGTTGCAGCTTCCTCCTGCCTAATTTTCTCCGGATCAGGGGGCACATCTTCATCAACATGTGACACCAAATCCGTTTCCTGATTCAGAGGAGGAAGATTTTCTGCTTCTTTATTCTCCAATTCCAATTCTTCCTCCTTCCTGGCAACAACATTGTGGGGCGGTTCTAAAGCCACACCAGTTTCTGATGCCTTGGAAGCAACCAATGTTTCTTTCCGGTTAACAAGTTTCTGCATGAAATTATTTTAATATAAAGTCAGAATCTCATTAAAGAAGGAAAACCCATACCAAAATAGATCTATTCCCCCACAAAAAATAAACATTTATGCTTTAGAGTTTCAAAAGCATAACAGCAGCCAACAGCTCTCAGACCTAGCTAAAGTTCATATGACTATATTTGATAGTTTGTGAATACTGCTTATATGCTTAACTAGGCCAGCACTGATTAACACGCAGAATCTCATCCAATAGCAACAGCATCAAAGCAATAATGAGATTTTTCAGGAAAGACATGTTTCAGGACATGCAAGAAGTGAGAACTGAAGAAAAGTTACTCCTTTTGTGACTTCATTCTCATAGTAATAATGAGATTTGGCCATTACTTTTGATATCACATTTCTAAGTAGTACAGCCATCTAATCATGTTAACTCATTTCAAAGAAAGTTGCTGAGCTGAACAATCAGCGTTACCTCTCTCCCTTTGGAAATATTTGATTTGGATGACTTTTTTCCAAATAGTACAGTTTTGATCCATTTTCCTGGTGACTTGCCCATTCTGAGATCAGGACCTGCGACAGAAGAACAGTGAACCCAAGTTCTGCAAAGATCAGCATAACTATTTTTTCATAAGTCTAGATAGTTAACTAGGAAATTAAATAACATGAAAAAGAATATTAAACTTGATCCTGCAACCGTGCAAAGTACTTCCTGAACAAACAAGATAACAAAAAATGAAAACATTCATTTACGAATATGGTTGCCTCTAATGAACAAAGTATATGCCTTGATGAAATGTCGTGAAATCAATTTTTTGAAAATAGTGGTACAGTAACTTTCCCCTTTGGTATTGACCAGAAAGAAAAATTCCCTTTGGTGAAATGGAACAGCTTTTTGCCGACAGCATTTCTTACGGTGTAATTAGTGATGCTGAAAGAATATGTGATAGAAAAGCGAAAACAACGTAATTTTACTAACAATCAACAAAGGTTACATACGTCCGTTAGTAGTTTCTCAGCGGTTAAAAATGCAAGGCAATGTACTACTAAAGGCGTTGAAAGATGAAGCTGCGTCAAGGGAAAAAAATAACCAATCAATTTGACAGGAACATAAAGTAGACATAATGTACTAATCGTTGCAGGTTTTCTGTAATGAAACATTATAAAACCAAATGACATATCATTTAAATCCGTATGCATCAGTTATTGGCATGATGATCCTTCACCAGATAGCTGTGAGATATTTCACGAAGAAAATATGTTATCACCGACAGCAATATCGTACGAAAACGATGTCGGCAAATCAAGTTTACCATCCTGAAAATCGTACTGTGATTTTTGCGCAAAAAGTTTTACTGGGAACCTAAACAAATAGCTCTGAATTATTCAAGAAGACACAAGCACCATCGCGTACTTCATTAACACCAGAGACTCAGAGGTCATTTCAGTGAAAGAATTAATAACTCCGAAATGACTGTACAACGTTTAAAAGAACGTTAACATCAGGATAATACAAGCAGCTACAACAGAGTTCAGGACTTCCAAAGGACTGGTAGGACCAAAAACGAAGTAAATTAAAGCATGTCCTCAAACCAAAGTAGCAATTTCCTAAAAGCCACAAGATCTGCCGCATATAAGAACTTGGAGATAGTTAACACTACTTCGTCACTCAATGTCCGAAATAAGAGTACACATGCTCGTCAGGAGCTAGATCTAACGTTTACCCGGTAAATGCTGAACCTCTTCACCTCAAATCTAACGTTCCTGGAAACCAGAATAAAACCATGAGATTAGAAAATGAGCACTATGTACTTGCTGTTTATTAGCAGAATAAGCAGAGAAATCTATACACACTGAAATAGACAATAGAGAGAATGACAGTGAAAGTAGCATACCATGAAACAGAGAGAGCTTGAAAACCAAGAAAATAAAAGAAAAGCAGAGCTGAAAATGGAAGAAGGCGATCTAAAGCTCCATCAATTTTGTGCTTGCTCGGTTTGTTGCTCCTCTATGAACTCCGAGGATGGAGAGTGAAAAACAACGCTTGGGCCAGAAAAGCCTGGATAATTTGTTGGAAATGTACTTCCGTGTATTCAGAGCTCACTGAAAAACGAGGCCACACTTCCCTTTTTATCCGCTAGATCCATGACTTGATGGAAATCAAAGATTGAGTGATTGATCGAACGGTCAGGAAGAGAGCAGATGCTACACCAGGCTACACTTCAAAAAGTGGTTAGGATTAAAAAAGGTAAGTGTCGGAAGTCGCAGTGCAATAGTTGCTTCGGAACCAAGGGTTCCAGCTTCTTTATTCCGAAGCAAAGCGAAATGACTCTTGCACCCTCACATCTCAAAATGCGTCTCACGCGCAGGGATACTTCGTGTCAGATCTGAACCGTTGATATGTGCGGCAGAGTCACATGATGTGAAGATCAAGAGCACGTGGATTATAACGAAGTGATGGAATCGGCAGCCACGCTGGAGATAAACCTGAGGCAGGGACGGTGTAAGAGTGAACCACCTCAACCATGTCTATCTGTAACTGTCACGAGGACCGGTTGGGTACTGTAATCACTCTCATTAATATTACGATGCCAGATTGGTGGTGGAACATTTGAGTCTAATAAATTTTTCTAAAATTCTGAGTTGTAAATTTTAGATTTACTGAATATAATTATTAAAAAACATGAATTAAGAACCTTTTTCAATGCATGAAGAGATAGAACTTTACCCAATTCCTAGTGGGATTCGCATCTAGACCTGGACTGGATTCATGTACCATGTGGGCCTAAGTGTGGCCCAATGCAGCCCACAATCCACACCCATGTCTGCGATCTGCAATTCGCAACCGTTAAGCAGGGCTCCAACTTCTTAAAATTTGAAATTGAAATTCGAAAAACAAGGAGCCTACGTGGGTCCCTCTTAAGTACCAACTTCCAACTAAGCATCATTAGCCCATTGGACCGTTTATTCCTTCTTTTTGGATGCTTATCTGTCACTATCAGTTATCTTTTGTCTTCTTTTTCGATTTTAACGGCAACACGTTATGGATGGGCTTGCGCGAAATATAGCCCTTGATCCTCGATCTTGACGTAACAGGGCGCGGTTCAAAATGGAATAGAGAAATCAGAATGTGTCCACGTCCGCGAGCTCACATGGGACTGAGCGTCTGGGAAAAGTCTTGCCGTGAAATTTGTCAGCGTTGTGGAGAGAGTGTCCACGTCAGCATTGTTTTCCCGCTCATGAGGACCCTTGCCCGAAAGAAAACTCCTTTATAAACCCGCGGATCATAATTTTGAATTCATTCATCGTACAAGGAAATCTTCGGATTTGAGCCTCCTCATTCCTAAATTTCTGTGTTGCACTGCGAGTGAGGTCAATGGACGAACCCGTCCCGCAACAGCAATCCGCTGGTGTTTCTGGTATAGTTCTTGCCAGTGTCCTCATTATTTTTGCGTTTCTATGCATGGTATGTTCCTAATTCTAACTCTAATTGGGTCGTGATTCAGGGAACTCTGGGAGACCCAGGCTTCAAAAGTATGCGCTGCGTTCGGTGTCTAAAGCTAAGGAGCAGAAGCCTGATGCTTCCGATTTGTCCAGTTCTTCTTCTTCAAAGAGGTTTTTTGGCCCCTGCAACTTCCTCCTTTCCTGGCTTTCTCTTCCGTGGGTTTGGAAGATATGTTCGTTTTCAGGATGATTCCAGTTGATGCCGAAATCATAACTGTTTCCGAATTCCCTAACAGCAGTAACATGATGTTATTTTCAAAGGATTATTATTGATTGGAACCCCACCCCTGGGCTCTGTTCCCAACTTCATTTCAGATAAGTATCACTGGGTATAAGTGTTTTCCTTTGCCAGGAAAAAAACTGCCGGGATAGAAGAGCTATGCAATTACATATTGGGGATTGGATGGAAATAAATAATTTAGTGATTAATATAGGACGAAGATGATTTAGCTGGACTCCGATATTTGGGAGTTGCGGTAGAGCAAATTGGTTTAACCCCATCAATCATCAAATCTTCATTGCACAGAATTTGACATCATTGGAGAATATTAATTAAGAATTTAAGATATGTTATGTTGTGTGGCTGCAGTCTTCTGGAGATTCACATCCCTTGCTTATCATCCTTTGATGCATCTCGTTCCTTTTTTCTAGGGTAAGACCTGCTGCTTCAAGTGTAAGTAAAAGCGTGGGAGTTCTTGATCTCTCTGGCAAGGATAAGTCTGCGGCTGCTAAACCCCCAAGGAGGTTCTCTATTCCTGCCAAAGCTGCTCCCACTCCAGGACCAAAGCTGTCTAGCACTATTACACCGATCTCGGAGACCAGAACAAGGAGGCCTGCTAATGGTCAAGGCAGAAGCGAAACACCCATTTCTGACATTTCCAGATCTTCAAGTCGAACGAAGTTCAACATGCTGTCTAAATCTTCATATTGGTTATCCCAGATCAAGGTCTCAGAATCTTCTGCGAAGCACTCAATTTCACTTGGCTTCTTCAAACTAGCGTTGGAGGCAGGATGCGAGGTAATGTCATACATCGAAATGCAGTGATACACAAACACGAAAGCATATATTATTTTGTGTTTGCTTCATTTCACGCTTCTTCTAAATCTTTCAAGCATCCTATGTCAGTTGAATTTGATGTGTGTTGTATTTAGGCTTTACAAATGGTTTCGGTATTCTGTTCTGGTTTGTTTGTATATCAGTTAACCTATCTTTTCCTTTGTTACTATTTTTACATCTATTACAGCCTTTCAAGAAGATGCGAGATGAGTTAAAGTCATATGTGCGCCGACATAATCTTGCTGATCTTGGAGAACCTGTGAAAGAATTGTTCGAAAGCTATAATATTACTGATACTGAAGATAAGACACAACAGTCGCAGATATCTGAAACTATTTCGCAGGTGCCAGAAGAGGGGACCCGATCCTCTGATGAAGATGTGCGCAGCTCTTCTTCTACCGTGGGTACTGGGAAACTCAAACCAAAGTGTTTAAACATTGATTCTACTCAAATTTCTTCTCCTGCGAAAGAGTCAGTCAAGAAAGTGACTGGACAGAAGAATAATGGCGGATCCAGGGCGAGAGTAGATGCCAGCAAGAATTCTTCAAATTCAAGATCAGCTTTAGAAACCGGCAGTCGCAGGTCATTGAAAAAATCGGAGAAGCCAAGCAAGCAAGAAGCTGGCAAAGAAAAAGGCAAGGTCATGGAGAAAGGAAAGAAAAGTGAAGTTGAGCAGAGTACGCGTGCATCAATAGCTCTTTTATGACAGTTTATGAGACATTTTTAGCCCTGCTAGTCTAATGTTTTTATGTTTGTATATTTTTTTCAACTCAGCTACTGTTAGCCCTTCACCTCCTGAAGTGACAATCATGGGAGACAAAGAAAACATGGTCAGAAGCTTACTATGCAATAATTTAGCTTTTCTGGATACCACTGTAGAAACATATACATGAAGCTAATCTTATTTCCTTCTCTCTTGTAGGATGCTTCTCTAACTGAAGAGAGGGTTTAAGAAGCTCGCGGTTGAACCTTTTAATTATTCCGTTTTCGAACCCCGTTTGTTCTCGTGTTGTATAGGCCTGGTGATTTGGTGAAGATTGTTTCTTGTGGTCTGGCGTCAGAAGACTGTTTTTAATCGTGTTTGGTCGTTGGACATCGTCTGTGTTTGTTGTCTATAATACACATGCTCACAATTTAAAGCCGTATCCAATCTCGAAAGTGTTGTTTTGCTTATCTTTACTTTTTACTCACAGCATCTTTTAAGGGGAACACCCCCTCCCCCAAAGAGAGAGAGAGAGAGAGAAGAAACCCTCCTTTCACCAATTCTTGTCTTTCATTGAGTTCACTCTTTTCATCCCTGTTTAGTATTTATAACTCATTTTGAGATTTAACTTGCAAACCCTGTTTAGTTTAGCGGGCGTATTTGAGTAGTCGAGCTGTATCCCTCGGCCAAAAATAACAAGAGAAATGATAATGGAAAGAAACATGAAGCAGACTAACAATAAGCCTTAAACCTAAAGAAACATTTTGGTCCTCAGCACCCTTACCGATTTCCTTGCTACTTCCATCCTTGACCGGATGGAGACCAACCTCAGTTCCTTCTTCTTCTTTTTTTCTTTAAAAGAAGACCAACCTCAATTCCAAATTGAGCCAGGAATGGCTAATCACAGTTGGTTTGTTATGTTGGAAACTTGTGGCAAGAAACAAGTCACTTTTCACCGATGCTACTTTCATGGCCCGTGGAGTCCACGCTTTTGTATCAAGGGGTACTGAGAGAACTCTGCTATATATCATCATAGACAAGTAAATAACAAGTGTGTCAACATTTCAGGCCCAAAAATTCAGTTCAGGCCTAAAATATAAACACATTTTGAAACTACAAGCTAAGAAATCTACCTAAGCAAATACTTCAAACCCTTTGTCATCATAACCAATTCAGCAAACTGAAACTTGGTATTAAACCATGTTGATAACAATTCAATGCAGATTGATACACAGAACATCTATTTTACATAAACAGACTTGAACAATGCATAAGCTATAATCGATTAAAGATGAAATGATCCTAACATTCAGAACAGTGATGAATAAAGGAAATAAGTTGATAAGTTTTCACAATGATTCATAATGGTGGCATCATAACTTAACACAATTCATCAATAGCTTCAGACAGGCAGAATGCCCACAAGTTTACATGGATGGGGGGCTTAGTCAGCTGTCCAGCTCTGCTCCACAATTTCTCTCACTCTTCGATTGTACTCACGCTTGTTCTCGCTAAACATTCGAGCTGCTTCTGAGTTTGCAGGAGAATTTGGGTTGGGATCACAAAGCAGTGACTGCCAAAAATGATTATCACCTTTCAGAAAATAATAATAAAAAATGGCAGGTGCTGACGACTTCTAGGGGCACAGCACAAACAATTACAATTTAAAACACACTTGTTCAACAGAAAACTTCATTTAAAACATGTACAAGTGTCCGAATTTTCAAGTACTTTACAATTAGAAAATTATCCTCATAGCAAATTACAAACCAAATTTGAACCAAAAAAAACTTGCCAACCAGCCCATATTGTTCTCATGACCCATGAACCTCGAACCAGAGTTTCAACTAGTTCAATCACTGTTCTGATTTTCATAATATTGTTCGATATACAGTTCACAACAAGAATTTCTAATATTAACTGTTAATTTCTTAAATCACCCAAAAGTAAGAAAAAAAAATCATAGAATTATTGAACTGTCTTCTGGACATCCATAGCAAGACTCGCAGTACTTGGTCATGTTAATTCAACCATATAAAATCACTTCAGGCAATCATCAGACATACCCATTACCTATTGATCTGAGGTTTCTACATTGCGCCTGTTGGATGCATAATTAGGGTAAACTACCTCCAATCCTTAATATAAGAACTGTTTCACTAATTTGAATAGATTAAAAAAAAATATTACATTAGTTATTTGCAACAAATATGAGTTGAATTTCCTAGAATGCCCTTGTTAATCATGTATATTAGCTAAAACTATCAATTGATAAAATATTTAATATATGCAACTACTACAAAAAAAAATATTAGGAAAAAAATAGATAAATATGATAGACAAAATAGATTGAGATCTCATATTTAAAACCAAATTAAAAATTGAACTACCTCTTATATTAAAGACCGAAACCAGTATTAAATTGGTAGTGGCTTGTGCAATAAATATGTCTTGATCATAGACACCATTCTCACATAGTTAGCACATAAAATGAAAAGGATTATAAACAGGAGCTAGACAGACTTCCGATGTGTACTTTATACCAACCATTAGGTAAATTTCTCTTGGAGAGTGCCACCAATTGCCTAATGGGCTGCAACGCTCTCACAATTTTTAGGGTTTTATGGTAATTTATTTAATTCTTACTAGGGCTGTGTATTTTGGCCAAATCAGATAGGATGTAGGGTTATTATTTTTCCTGTTAATTTCCATGATTCTAGGAAGATTTAGCTGACCAAACTCTTCCCTTAATGTACCGTTACCACATGCGAATGGACTCAAGTTATTCTGCAGCTAAAATCTTCATGGTAGTAGAGCCTGAGGTCGTTCCTAGAAGTTCAGCTGAAGCTGAATACAGATATTTATCACATGGAATATGTGAGATGGTGTGGATAAGGAGATTGTAAAAGGACCTTGAGATTGAGGTTGATAAGCCAATCAAGGCTTGGTGTGGCGACAAGGCTGCAACACAATCCGATATTGCACAGTCGGACTAAGCATGTGGAAATTGATCATAGCTTTATAAAGCATCAAATTGAAGTAGGAGTCATCGAACTCTCCTACATATACACAAAAGCACAAGTGGGAGATATTTTAACCAAAGTGCTCACCAAGGAGAGATTTGAGGCGCTGAGTTCCAACCCCAGAATGATTGGCATCTATTTGCTGGCTTGAGGGAGAGTGTTGGAGAGCGCTGCCAATTGCCTAAAGGGGCTGCGCTGCTGCTCTCACAGTTTTTAGGGTTTTATGGTTGTTTATTTAATGCTTACTGGTCCTGTGTATTTCATCCAAATCAGATAGGACACGAGGTTATTATTTCTCCTCTTTATTTCCATGATTCTAGGAAGATTTAGCTCACCCAAAATCTTCCCTATATGTGCCGTTACCATAAGCGAATGAATTCAAGATGCTCTACAACTAAAATCTTCCGATTCACTAAAACAATTTAATTCCAACTGGTAAAACGCAAATGTAAAAAGAAAAGAAAATAATCATTTCTTATCAAGAGAAACAGTACAGCTTGTAGACAAAAGGAATTTCCATAAAGACATTAACTGAAAGTCTGCGACAAATCAACAGAGGGATGGCTTGAGGTTCTTCTTAATAGTCTATATTGAGTTGAGGCGAGATAAATACATGGAAAAGCAATTTGGTATTGCTATCAGTAGAGAATAGGGGAATTTCAGAGAAAATATGGAGGAGTGTTTCTAGACTCTTTACCTGGCAACCCCCTAAAATAAATAAAATCAACTGTGCATCTTTAACCAGCAGTGATTAGCTGAAAACAAAACGCCGACTTCCTGTTATCTAACCTAGACTTTCAAAGGCATCCAAAAGATGTTCCCACCTTTTTCACAAAAGACCCCCAAAAAAAGAAAAGAATTACAGATACTTCATACAAGTAGTTATGAATCACTAGATGGTACCTGGATAGATGTGAGGATAGCAGCTACATCATATATGGGACTCCACTGATTTTGTAATATATCCAAACATATACTCCCATCCGCATAAACTGAAAAGGTCAATTTTTTTTTTTTTTAAAAGGCATTAGTAGTTTCAAGGGGAATTTATGGATTAGGTAAAATTCTCAAGATGAAACTTACTATTTGGATGAAACATTCGAGAGACAAATCGTACAGTTGGCGGTTTGTTTGGATAATCCTCCGTAAATTGAAGGGTCAACTTAAACGTTCCTAAATAACTCAATTTGTAGTTGTGTGAGTATAATTAGTTATGCTGATATCAACTGATAGCAAATACGACATCCAGTGTCCATAACACTGACAGGCACCTCTAAGTAGAGTATCAACTATACAACACAGTAAACAAGTTAAAACCGTGAGAAAAATTTGAAAAGATATCCACAAATTTAATAAAACTGAATTGCAGAACCCATATATGTGTTCTATAAAGAAAATCTCCTAGCTTCATGATATTACTGCAGAGACCAATCAAGGTTCTCAAAATCTTTTCGAAAATATGAGAGGGACGACGCTGAGAGCAACAGGATTGCAACTCCAACTAAGATGCTGATCACGCTAGTCAAACACAAAAGAATCAATAAATTAAAGTAAACCACAAAGTTCCCAAATTACAAGCCCAATTGTTGATCCTCACAACTATTTTCAGCTAAGTGATGTGACGCAATGATTAACTCACCTCCATCCCATGGAGTATCATCGGGGCTGCAAGCCAAAGCAGACAATCAAGAAGAAATTACTTGTTGATATACACTTAAAAAGGAAATAAAGCGAGGTGATATAAAAGAAGTAAAAACAATGATGGATCTTGGTCCAATTTCGTCACAACTCACCCAAAAATGACAGCATTCCAGAGCATTATATTGTTGTCCTGAGGGGCACCACTGATTCCTGCAGGTGGATCTTGCTGCAGCCTCTTAAAATCTCTCATCAGCCTCTTCCTGGCAGGGGTCGACATTGTCACTACCTAAAAAGAGCCATAGGCAAAAACGCGATAAATACTTCAATCCATTAAAAAGCAGGCTTCAACATCACTTTTAGTTTACTGTGTCTGAATTTAAATGGGGCACACAAGTTATCATTCAATTGTAATTTGATTGCGTCACAATTGGCAATGGCCAGGAATCAAAATTCAGTTGAGATGTAATCGCAGAAAATCGAACAAGGACAAGCATCTGCTACATAGACCACACACAAGGTAAAGATGGGGAGAAGAAGAGAAATAAAGTTTTGCAACACGTGGTGTTTGTTGCAAGCAATGATTCGGAGATTCAATCCGTCAAAATTTCCCCTTCTCCCCTCTAGTGCAACTTTACGCGGAGACTGCAACGGAATTCACTCAAAAAACCCCTTGCTACAGCTTCATATTACGGCCAGCTAAAAAGCATAAACTTTCAGCGACACAAAAATCTTTCATTTCACAAGACTATGAAAAAAAATTATAAAAATAAGGCTTTGCGGCTTTGATCCAGAATTCCAGATCATCCGTGTCAATCTCTCATAAACAATCCCCAGGAAAACAACCGTGTAAACTCAAACCGGCCAAAAAAAAAAAAAACGAAGGTGAACAAAGGCGATTCAACGAACAGAATTTTCAGAAAGAGTTGTCTCACCCAGACAAGGGTCCGAAATTAAAGAAACCAAGGTCGCCGATAGCAGTTAATAGGTGCAGGTGAGCTGACTCAGTCTGGTATGAGTGGTACGATCATCCAAATCAGAGTTTCAGTGAGATGGAGTGAGCATTACGGGAAGACCCTGAGAAGGGAGTCGCTCGTTTCGTTCGATTCGTCGCACAGGAACAAGGGGTTCGGCCCTACGGTAAAGCTTGATGGGACGTGTTTAGGACCTGAGCTATGTATCCCTTTTTCCCCTGTTAAATTAATTCTTTTTTCAATAAAACTGAAATCCCATTTCCCATCAATCACCACCTCATGGACAAAAAGTGGTGGGGCTGATGAATGGTATAAAAATTAAACCCCAAATTATGTGAGAGTCTCGTTGAATAATCTACGCCATTAAGGTTTCTCTTTCTGAACAGACAGCAACTTTCGATTCTTTATGAACAGACATTCTAATATCGTCAACGATATTTTCAAAAAATTAAATTGATGACCTCAACATAATTAATATTTGATCAGAAAAACACAATTAATAAAAACGACGATGCTCTTCAATCTCTTTGATGAGCACAAACAGCGACGGTTTATAATTCCTAGTTCAACAGTGGCGGGAAGAATGTCAGTGAAACTACCACTAAACCTACACATCCGGTTCTCTTTAATATTTCAAACCACGGCAAGCTTTATTGTCACCTTTACCTTCTTAACAAAACAGCAAAATTTGATCAAGAAGAGTTAGTCCAGTTAGTAAGGAGTAGGTTCATAATTTACAGGATTGTGAGTTGAAATCAACAAATACAAAAGTGACTATCAATTATATGAGAAAGTTTAATTAAATAGGTATTTGGATAGAAACCAAATTATAATTTCAAAAGTATATTTACGGTTTATAAAATAAATATGTGAAGAAATTTGTCTTGTTTTATGAAAAAGTGCTTCTTAGAAATTTTTTTAGGATTGCCAAACACCTCTTAAATAATGAGCAGTTATCATTTCATTGCTGCGAAAATGATTAATCAAAACACCTCAATCCCATGAATATTTGGTGCGTATGTATATATATCTCTTCATTTGTTCATTGTTTTTTGTTCTGTCATTTTCATAAATTAAGAGAAAAATATGCTCAATAGTACAATCTAAATTGTAACTTAAGTGATTTTTGAATTAGTTTGTTTTAAATTATTTTACATTGTATAAGAGTTTAGCTAAATAAAGCACGGAGAAAATTTTTTATAAGCGATTGCCCGTGTTTCCGAATGAGCATCAATGGAAAGGATTATTTCTTTTAATAAATCTTAAATAAAAATATTCATAGGCTTGAGATAGATTGTGGACATGGGGCATATATGAATATATAAATTGTGGACATGGAGCTGTAAAATTGAGATGAACGGGGGAAAAACGTATTTTATTTAGGAAAAAATATAAATATTTAGCCTCCAATGCGCGTATCTACTAAGGGGCTTATTTCCATTCAACCAAGCATGTTAACTTTTATATAATTTCTCAGATTCTTGATATTTTATTTTGATTCTAAATATAAATTCTTAATTTATTTTATTTATTTATTTATTTATTTTAAGATTGTCTTTATAATAATGATAGTTCTAACCAACATACTTAATTAATAATAATACTTCAAGCAAAACAACACATATTTATTATAAACAAACTAATTTAACTAATTTTCTTAATTTACTCAACCAACTCTTATATTAAGCATTAGATATAAGATAAGAGTTAATTTGATTTTTAATTTGGTTTTAAATATAAGATCTTGAATCTACTTTCTCTCTCATATTTATTTATTTTTTTAAAAGTAGCCCTTACAGTAATTACATATGTTAAATATTTTATTAAATGATGGTTCCAGCTAAATAAGCTAATACACATGGTTAGTAATAATATTTTAGAAAAAAACAACATCTATTTATTACAAATAACTAATTTAATAAACTTTCATAATCTACTCGAATTATTCAAGGAACTTTTATATTAAGGACGAGAGGTAGTATTATTTATTACTCCTCTGGTCCTTAATATAAGACTCATTAACTAATTTGATATATTAAGGAAGTTAGGTAAGTTAGTTAATTATAAAAAAAAAGACATTTTTTTTCTAAAACACCATAATTATCTTTCTTAATACCCTTCTTCCTCTTCTACTTGATTATGGTTGAGAGAGTCCATATGGGGTTATTAGAAAAAATTGATAAGTATAAGAAATAGGCCTTATATTTAGAACCAAAACTAACTCAAGAATTGGGTCATATATTAAGGACCGGAAGAGTATATAACAAACTTGTATGATTAATCTTATTATATTTAGAAATTGGAAAAATTAATCCCCAAGTCATTATATTTTACATTAATTTTGAATTGGGTCCTTATAAATTAGTTTCTTTGAAGTGGATCCTCACACTCAAGTCCGTTAAACCTGTTGATCCTGGACCCTTAACACCGTTAATATTAACTAAGTGGCTGAATATACTTATCCACATAAACTGTGACTTGTTTTCCTCCTTGTGCAGGGAAAAAAAAAAAAAAAAAGAACACCAAGGTAAGGTCCATCTTCGCCGCCACTCTCCACTGTAACATCGCCGGTAAGATCATGAATGCCAAACAAGCATCCCTCCTTGTATTCACATCCCAGGATGAAATTTGGAGAATCAGGCCAGCCATACACCAAGCCATATAGCAAAATCATGGGCAAGAGTGAACTGACATTTCCTATTGCACACAGTACTCCACTGAGCCCACTAATCCGTTTAGCTTCATGATAGCAAAGGGGAAGGCCATGATTTCTTTTGTGCTTTAATTTTTGTATTAAGCCCAAACATATTGTTTTTCCTTTTTGTAAAGTTTACACCTTCCTCTTCCTCTGACCTCAGTTACTCGTGCTTGTCCTCTTCCGTCCTGTGTTCAAAAAACCACCATTAAAATCATCAACCAACACAACCATTGTTCAGAAATCATGACTCACAGATATTCGAAGCGAAAATTATTCAAGAGTTGCTCATATCTATTCTCTTTTCAAACCCAAGACCCATCAAAACCCAAACCCATAGCTTCAGTGTTTGCAAATCCAAAGCGTGTTGATGTTATGGTCCTGATGGAGGAAGGGAGGTGTTGGAGTAGATATGGAAGCCATTGGCAGACAAGGGTTCTATCTTTCTCTTTTGTGCTTTTTAATTGCTTTGACACTGTTACGTTCCAGATTTCATTCTAGAAGATGAATACAAAGGATGCTTGTTCTTGCGAATGGCGTTCCGGATGTCGGCACCGAGGTTACAGAAAACGACGGCATGTTTTTTAAATTTTTTGTACCAGTCAGTATCTTGAGCATTTGTCGATTTTATTGTATTTTTTTGTTCAGCACTAGAAGGGCTCATATTTTTCATTCAAATGGCAGCATATCACCAGCCAGCTCATTCATATTTCAGCCACTTCACCTAACATTAATGGTGTTAAATGTTGAAGGACCAACATGTTTAACGGACTTAAGTGCGAGGACGCAATTCAAACAAATCAAACCATATGGAGTTAATTCAAAATTAATGTAAGTATAAGGACCTGGGGATTAGTTTTTCTTTAAAAATTATTTATTATCATTTAATTGGATTTTTTTACCATGGATTATGATTTAATTGGATAAAATCTATGTACATAAGCATTCTCCTTTTATTTATAAATTTTTTGATTATTTGAATGCAGTGAAAAAATCAATTCTCTGGTTTTGAAACTATAATTTCCTTAAGTATTTCAAACACTTTATAACATGTGAAAAGCAATCACAAGCCCGATTATAATTATTCACAAGTTACTAACATTTCTGTTGCATATCAAAGTCATCATTACATCAATTATAAACCTAAAATCATGATTATCTGATCAGTTATTGTTATTACTAATTTTAATTATGCTATTTAATTATACTCCTAACTAAATCTTATAAATATATAAATTCGACCTTCTAATTTATTCCAACTCAAATCCAAACATACCTAAATCACATGATTTAGCTTATTTTTCTATCAAGTGATTCGGTGATATAGGAGCGCCAGAAA